GAATGAACTGCCCACTGAGAGAAGTCCTGAGGAGAAGGACTTCTGGTGGTTGATGAGAAGCTCAGCATGACCTGGCAATGTACATGCTTCTCCTCCCCTACTCTGCTCTTGTGAGACCCCACCTCCAGTACCGTGTTTTCTACCAGCCTGTGATTAAACGGAAACTCCATGCCATGAAAGGATGCAGTGGATTCTAAATTATACATGGATTTAAAAGCCCCTGAAAAAAATAATGGAAGAAAAATCCCCTGAAAGCTACTATATAGTAGCACGTGTGGCTGAGAAAGTGCATTAATTTATTGAAGGCTGGGAGAGGATGCTACATACTTCCATATTCTTACACTCTTCCTTAAACAACTGCTAGCATCCAGTTCTGGAGACAGAATTCCTTTGATTTAACTCATTGGTTATGTCCTTATGACTTATTGGTTGGGGTTTTTTTTTCAATTTTTTTGCTTTCTCCTGTGTATTCCAAAGATTAGTTGCACTCTGTGTGATTACAGGCTATTGTTTCTTAATTTCTAACAAAAAACAAGTGGATGTAACCCATTTCAATCCATACCAGTACATAGCCTGATTTAGACATTTTGCTTGTTTCAGGGCATAAACTAGTGTCTCTGAAGGCTAACCAGCTTTCCTAACAACACCCTATGAATCACAGTAAGAACAGGCTTCTTTCTAAAGCAACATATGTGAACACTTCTGGCGGCTGTTTGCACATAAGATGGGCCAATGACCTGATCCATAACTTATGAGGCATATTGTTTGATAATGACAAGAATTACAAGCTTGAAGTTCATAAAATAACTTGTGCTTCACATCTAAAAAGTTATCTTTAATAAGCTTTCTATGAGTTCATGAAAATTGGTATTTTCCTAATGTTTAACCTCTGAGAAATTTCAAAAACCATACATGAAGATTATAATCAATATTATTCAGGTAGCAGTATATTCTCTTTCAAAGCATAACCTTTTAGGTGAAGCTTAACTATTGATTACTAAATGGCACTATTTCTTGCCATTTCCATTGGCTGAGATGTATCTGAGAGAATTTCCTAAATAAATCCACATTGGAGCATGCTTCAGAAGGGTTACCACTGACTGGGAAGAAAGAGTTAACTGTGTTTTTATGCACATTTGTTGCTGTGGCTGCATTACATATTAAAATATAGGTTCAGACACATTCACCCAAATCCATCCTAGAGTGCACAGTGGATGACCTCTATTTCTCTGGTACTGAACTAAGACTTTCTGGTCAATCTGGAAGCATCCTGAGGCTTTCATCAGTCTTTTAATTCCTGGATTATTTTCTTCTGCCTAAAGTTTCCCTTCTGCTTCCCTTTTGTTTGCTCCATCTCTTCTGGGAGGGTGATTCACAGTTAATCAGCTCATGTATTCTGAGACATTCAAAAATACTGCTCTGTGGACAGGCCAGCAGGCATTGCTGTCCCCCTTGTGTGGTTAAACCCTACTCTTTCCTTAGGGGCTTCACTGTCTCTGCTGCCCTGTAACTGTTACACAATAACGACCAAAGCATTGGACCAGCTGCAGACATTAGTGCCATAACTGCAGGAAATGTAATTTGGGATACCTAATGAGCAGGTTCTTTACATAAATACACCAGGAAAAACTCAATTAAAAAAAAAAAAATCTACACAAATTAACGTTAGGCAGATAGAGAGAAAAACTTCCGCAGTTGAACAGGGACATCTACATTCTGTTTAACGTTTTTGTTTTCCCATTATCTTTTAGCACTTTCGTACAGAAAAGATGATTTTCACAATTTTAACAAATAGTTAAATATTCAGTCTCTAGTTAGGTGAAATTTTGCATGAATTCTCCTATTTTATCATTGTCAGCTGGAGGGTACAAGATGTGCTCTGTATCCATGGACTGGACACTGGAATGTACCTGACTTTACATCATATAAACATTACTTAACAACAACTTAAAACATCAGTGTGTTACTAGCACTGTTCTCAGACAGAAGTCGAAAACACAGCACTGCATCAGCTACTAAGAAGGAGAAAAATAACTGCTACACAAGAACCCAGGACAATACAAAATAACATTAGAGTGTACCATACTAATTCCATACTAAGTGCCTGTTTTATGCTTTAACTAGAAGAAATTCTGGTCACTCATCCTCTCCTTACCTTTCTGGTTTCCTGTGTCTCAGCATTACCGGATTTACAAGCTCACACTTTTTTATTAGGCAGCTTTTAAAATAGAGTTTCCACAGACTGGATTTGCAGTGTTCATGTTGCCAGACACACTACTGTGTCTTCTCTAGCGAGGACGGAATCTGACAATTTTCCATTCACATTCCTATTAATTTTTATTAATAATATTCCTCTCTATTAACTGTGAGTTTGAGATAAGTCATCCTCTTCTGAAGATACGCTAACATACTGTTTTTCAGTTTATCTCACGCTTATCACATAACGTCCTGCTAAAAAGTTTCAGTGTGCACCCGCACATTATCCAGGTTGATGAACAGGTAGCAACATGGGGTTGCTGTTGTAACTTCTTCCTTTAGCGGTAGGAAAATACACTCATTGCAAATCAGTCACCTCCAAAATAGATGTTTCACTGAGGCACATTTAAAGGAAAATACAAAACACTATTTTTACAAGGCATTTTTCCTGGCATTTGTTAGTTATCAGCGACTAGCATGTTATCCAGCAAACTGGATAAACTTGAGTATCCAGTCCTCTCAGTCTAGTTCTTGAAATCCAATGTTTACACCTTGTTTTCTCCATGTTGGGGTGAATGCGTACTTCCTAATCATTCATTTGCTCTGTGAGAGGGTTTAAATTGCTCATTTGAATCACCATTTTACTCTTTAGTATGTCCAGTCTAAAAACTATCACATGTAAACCAGTTCACTATTCTTGCATACTACATTGTCTCCATTAAATATTCAGTAGATCTGTTCATATTAATACGTTTCTCAAAACTTTAAAAAGCACACTAAACAGAAGAGACCAAAACTAGAACTGTGAGTCTCTGCTTTACCTCCTATGTTTAATGTCAATCCATTTTCCAAAAAGAGTGATGTTTGGGTTTTGGTGTGAGTTTTTTTTCTCTTGCTTGAGTTATTTTATACTGCACCAGCATTGTATTTACCAGCTTCTTTATTTTTTTCCTCATTACTGACCATGGTGTTTTGTTGTTTAGTTTTTTCTTTTGTAACCATTTAACCAATACTTCTATTAACTTACCTTCATTTGATGGTTGTATGTATAACCCTTAGTGTACTGGTTTATTTAAAGGGGAAGAATATCCCTGGTCTCAACACAGTAGTTTTGGTTAAAAAGCTACTTCATACTGATACTGGTATTTCTGTATGAGACAGGGAACACTGATAGGGGTCACCTTTATATAACACATGTCAGGGAGCATCAAAACCCTAGGGACAGCTGCAGCTGAGGGTGATCACAATGCAGGATGGGCAAACAGCAACGAGGCATAGCCCAGCAGAAGAGCTAGGTGGCTGAGCTGGAGTGCTGACAGCAACAGATCCTTATGACAGTCTTGTGGCCGCCAGACAAAACCAAGGTAACAGGTCTAAGGTCAGCCAAGGAAATCTAGACAATAATTCAGGGCTGGCTACAGGTACAGCTACACAACTGAATGGTGAGGTCTGAGCTTACGTAGGACTCTTGTGGCAGAGGGCATGAGTGGAAGGCTGTGGTGGAAGCACCTCAAGTACTCAGATGAGTACTAGAAACACTCCTCATCTACCCAAACATCTCTTTGATAACTGCGAATAAATCTTCCAGGACTTTTTGCATAAAGGTTTACCGTATTTTGTACTTGTTACTTGAATAAGCATGATACGATTTCTCCTACCCAGCCTCTCTGGGGAGCAAATGGGACATAAAAGTTATCTTAGATAGGATATTCTCTCTCCTGTCTTTTTAGCTGACTAGCTTCTTCAGCCAAGAGGTTGGCTCCCACAGTGATTTTCAATTTAGAGGTCTTTTTAAGCCAAACTTCCAATCTTTTTATTCCCTACTGCAGACCAACTCTAACTCTACAAAGTTAGTTGTTAAATTACACCAGAAATTGTCCAAACCTTCCTGAAAACCTCCTGTAAAACATGTTTAATAAAATTGTTGGGTACCTGTTCTTGATCCTGTTTCCCAACTCCAACATGGCACATTTCAAAATCTCTCTCACTGCAATTTTAGAGGCAATGTAAGCTTTGTTTTCAGCAGACTGCACTTCATCTCTCCTTCGTTTCTTTGTGAGAAGTCTCCAGTCCCCTTTATGGCCCTACTGGGGCTTGTAATTCTTTCTAGCCATCCTTTGCTGCCTTTTTAGCCACTTTGGTTTCTGTGACCAACAGTGCAAAAGGGTTCTATCATCACTCTGCAAGAGCACCATCCCACAGTCCCTCTTTCTGCCTTCTTTTCTTTGACTTTTTTCATCCCTGGGCACCAGACACATACAATGGGCCTGGGACTCCATTCCAGGTCTTGCCAGGCTGGCTGCTGTCGCTGTGGGGATGGCTCACCTGGATGGGCTTTCCAGGATGGACATTCCTGCTCCTCATGTGCTCTGGATACCAGTCCTCAGTGAGCTGCGGGCTCTGGATCACGCTTTGTGGCGCGTTTTGGCCCAGGCCACGGTTTAATTCCCAAACTGGGACGCAAGGCGCCATGGCAGTCACAGACACAGCTCCCCCTCCACGCCCGGCTGCTGGAGGGCAGTGTCCCACTCAACCCCATTCCCCGCGATCCTGCTCAGTGTGGCTCTTGGCTGCCTTTTAGCCGATTTTTAGTCGCCTTTAAGGCGCTGAGCGCGGCTGAGGAGCGCTGCCCCCCCCCAGCCGCAGGACACCCGCCTGAGGCACCCTGAGGCGGGAAGGGGGGACAGGAGGGACTCCGCACGCGCGCCGAGCGTGCGTTGCCAGGCCAACACGGCGGGGCGCGCGCCGGGCTCCACGGCGCCCGCCGGCAGCTGGCCCCGCCCGCGAGGCTCCCGCCGGACTACAGCTCCCAGCAGCTCCCGCTCCGCGCCGTGACTCGGCTGAGGCGACGGCGGCGCTGGGCGGGATGGAGTGAGGGGGCGAGCGGCGGAGAGAGCGCAGCCCACCGAGCCCCGACCCCCTCCCCCTTGCCTCTCTCTGGTCCGGGTCTATGCGGCCCCCCAGAGACCATGGGATCCAGGATCAAGTGAGTGCCCCTCGGAGCTCTCCAGTCCCGCTCGCAGGCCCTCAGGAAAGCGGGAGGGCTCTGGAGAGCGAGAAGGGGACTTCCCCGCCCTCCGTCCAGCTCCGTGTGAGGCCGCGCGGGCGAGACCCCGGCCCAGCCTGAAGGCCTCGGGGTAGGGCGAGGAAGAGGGGGAGAAAGAAAGGGGGAAAGTGCTTTTCACCCCGCCAGGCCAGCTGGCAGGCCGGGGAGGGAGGAGGCGGCGGGGCAGAGGGCCTCACTCCCCAGCTGCCTGGGCGGGGAGTCCCCACGCCGTCGGGGGGGGGGAAGTCGCTTCCCGCCTTCAAACTGCACACTGGGTTGTTGTCGCTCCCGTTCTCCCTATCTTCAGCTCTCCGTGTGGCAGCGGATAGGGGCAGGCTGTGAGGGCAGGTTGAGTGTTATCGGTGCAGGCCTTGAGGAGGATTGGGGCTGCTGGAGTGGGAAAGTCTTCGTGGCCAGCACCGGTGAACTGTTTTGGGGTGTGGTGGGTTGAGAGAGTTCAAAGCCTCCTTGCCTAGAGTGCGCCGAAGGAAAGATGGATAGTCTAGCTATGATATCTTGAAAGTGTGTTGGCAAGGGGATTTGGGGGGAGAAAAGTGGTGCAAGAGGCTAATGTGTTGGGCCTGCGGATGCATGCCCTCAATATTTTTTCAATTTTCATAAAGCTGGGGGCTGATTTGTTGGTAAGCCCTGCTAGTATGTTTGGTATTGTTACATTAACGATCTCAGTTTGTTCATGTGCCATTCCAGGCGAATTCTGTTCCTCTGAGACAGGTAGAGGTGTAATAAAGCTATCACCAAGCAGGGAGTGCTGACATCTTTGTGCATGAAAGGTGTGATAGAGTGGAGAGACCCAGTTAGATTGTATTTTATTCAGCAGTTTCAGTAGGTGCTGTTGAGCAATTGCTTTTCCTTCTTCAATACAGCATTCTTCAAGATTACACAGGGCTTTAACTTTTCACCTCTTGTTTAACTCGAACATGAGACTGGAGGAGACATAGTTTGTAGCAGCTTTAGTGTGGTGACACATCTTCATGTTCGCAAGCCCACAGGCTGAATAGACATAAGTGTGTGTCTATCCAGTCAGGTGTTTTAGGAAGACGTAAGTGGATAATGAGTGCTTGTAGTGATACCACTGAGATGATTGGTTGGTTCTGGAAAGCAATCTTCCTTCTTCAGGAGACACTGTGGGGATAACTTTTGCGCTTTTCTGGTGTATGGGTTCTCAGCTGTTGCTACAGTAAATGAAAGAGAAGCTAGTTAAACTCTTAGCTTACATTGAACTACAGGTAAAATCTAAAATGTGTTACTATTTTGACAGCAGAGCAGGCAGTGTCTGTAACTTGCACTTTCAGATCATAGTAGTGGTCCCCATTGCTTGGGTCACTTCAAGATTATGATCTGAAATGACGTATCATGATGACCTTATCTTAAAGCTATTAAAAGGCTGATGCTTACTTAACATGTAGTTTCTTTTGTGTACTTACTGAATCCACAAGCTATGCTTGCCATTTTGGGGGTTTTGGTTGCTAATTCGACCTTTAATGGCTTTGCATATGCTTTGTTGAATGTGAATGTAATTACTCAGATGAGACACTTCAGCTGAAAACCTTCGGGTGGGTGTTAGTGAGATGTAGCAGTCAGAAGTATCTGTTACAGCCAGTGGACTTCAGGACTTTTGCTGTGCAAAGTCTTTCAGTGTGAACATGTCTTTGTCACCAGGAAAAAGACATGATAACCCTATATAAACATAGCTTTTCGTTCCTCTTGGACTTTGTGAGAAAGAATTTTGACCAGTGTGTGATTAAACAAGACTTTGTCTTGAGCAACAAGTAATAAATTGCGTTTTTGCACTTTGGACAGAACTTTGTGCCCATGTAGAGTAAGGACAATATTTCCAAACAATCTTGAAATGTATAAAGAATGAGTGAGCCTATATGAGTAAGAGGCTTTTCTGATATGCTCTTCTGAGCTGGATGTTTAATCCAGCAAAGGTTTTCAAGTTGATAAGTAGTTCCTTTATTGGGGCAGGTGGGAGCATGAATGAGAGAACTCTTTTATGATTGGGTATGCTCAGGTATGCCCCCTTTGGTGGTGTCACCAGTATGTTGTAGCCCTAGCAAAAATCCAGTAGTCAGATCTGTTGCTTGTTGCTGTTGATTGATAATTATGAGAGATATTAAACTCCTTGGCACATGATCACTTGCACACGCTGTCTGCATGAAACCTGGACATATGTGTCAGTTAAATTTTTGATGGATTTTTAGTAATGAGTCATTTGAATGAAAGATCGCTTAGAGAAAATTATCAGTAGCTGCATCAGACTGACGTGAAAGAAATCAAGAGATTGCCAGCAGTCCTGTAAACTTTTGGCTTGTGTATAGCCGCAGGCGACAAAAAGGTAAATTGAGTGTTGGATGACACTGTTGGGTTAAGCTTCATGTTGGAGCATGTCATACGGTATGTGCAAGGCACTCTGTGCCAGTGAGGTAATGTAAAATAGGCATGGAGTTAACCTGGCTGCTAGTGCTTCTTGGTAGCCTTCAGTACTCAAGATGTTACGAGAGAGAGAGAGGAAGAAAGGATTCTTTTTTTAATGTCTTAATATCAGTCTGTTCAGCAGAGTTGCATTGCATCCTGAAAAAATTTGACATGTTCCTTTCCAGAGGTAGTTGTATTTCAGTGATGATAGAAGAGATCCCTCATATTAATTTGGGAATCCTTTCAGATATTTAACATGAAGTTTGCTATATACTGAAATGTAGTATTATCTACCAAGGGAATACCAGGCAGAATAACTTAAATGTATGGAAATGAATCACAGTTTGAGGTGCAGTTTCTGAATTGAATTAGCAGTTACAGCTTTCTGCTAATAATTTTTTTCTGCAAGAGTTGAGCAACTGAGTCTTGTTACGAGACAGCTAATTATCAGGCAGTGTCAGGCTCTTCTCTTATGCCTCAGTTTTTAAGTAGAATGATACTTTCTGTCATAAGTGCTATAGATATTGTAAATGGTACATATCTCTATGTAAAATAGAAGTTCTTATGGATTGCTTTGATACTAAAGCTACTTCTACATCAAAGAGATTTTAAGTAATTATACACAAATTTATCACAAATGCATTTTTTTCTCATAGAACTGCTTCCTAAATTTATATTTAGAAAAAAATCCTTAAATTATCCAGTTATCAAATATATGGGCTACTATGTATTTTTGTACACATTTTGTACGTATATATTTTTTAATTGCATCTGTATGTTCACTTGATGACTGACCATGGATCTTTAAGTGATTATTGTGAGGAAAGAAAACTCTGTGTGTTTGTGTTTAAGGGTATAGTGCTGTGGATGATATCTGTGGGTTGAGGTCTTAATACAATGCACAGGTGCTATCAGATGCAGGTTATTTTAATAGTCAACAAAATGGACTGCAAAATATACATATTCTTATGCATGTTCATGCTATATTTGCAAACTGTATGAAGTCTCATAGTGACTTGTTGCCTTAATTCCACTGCAAAATTATAGAATACACAGAATTCAACAATGACTTCATTCTCATGCTGAGGTGTTGGCTGCTTGAATGCAGCCTTTAATACTAAGTTTCTGACTTGGCAAAGTTACTTTAATTTCGCTGTTCATAGAAATAAGTGGATGCTTGTCATGGAATATTAAAATACAAAATATGATGTCTTTTTGTCTGAAATTTTTGGTATATAGTATGTGCTCTTGCCAGCTGTGTTATATGGTGTTTTTACAAAAAAAATTTGAACAAAGACTCTAGCATAATACTAAAAAGGTGTTTGTTATTTTATCCATTAGCTGTAAGAAGATTATAAAATTCATAAACTTTTAATTAAGGAAATAGGGCGCTAAAAATAGAAACATGAACAAGGAGGGTAAGATAAGGCTGCATGGCAGTATACATGTAAGGAGAAACACATTTCTGGTGTTACATGGCTGTCATTTCATCCTCATCCTGTACCATGATTTTAGGAATATAGCTGAGAATCTCCATATTCAAAGCAGAATATATGCAGCAACTCTTAAGTAGCACAGACAGAATTATGCAAGTTTGTTTTATAATTTAAAATAATAGTTGATTTATTGATTTTGGATTTCTCAGAACCTATGAGTATAGTTATCTGAAAAATGGATATTTAAATCAGATGGGAACTGGTGGCAAATTAAATTAACGTTCATTGAATTGTGAACCATTGTTGCTCCTGAGAGATGCTCTGTAAAACTGCAGAGCATGATCCTGTGCTACTGAAACCAACAGTAGCTTTTCTCTCGGTTTAAATAGGTGTGGGGTTTGGCTTAGAGCCACTTGAGTTATACTAAATGGGCCTGTGGCATGGTTAGAAATGTTTTATTTAATCCCTTTTGGTGTTAAAGTAGGATTGAAAATAATAGAAATTCTCTGAAAAGTAGGCTGAAGTCCTTGACATGTTTATATGTTTGGTTTGAGGTGCTGGGTAAGATGAGTTTTATTTTTTAAATGATTATTCAGGAAGAATTCTAGCATGTATATATATATATATATGGGATTTGTCATAATTTTCATCCTTAACTGTAAGGAGGCTAACAAAATTCACAAGTTAATTATACCTCAGCCATTTTCTAATGTTAGATAGTTTACATTAACACCTAGGAGACAATATTATCACTGTACAAGCAGCCATAAATTTAGAGCAGCAATTATGCAATTTTCATTCGTGGTTTTAACCAGAAAGTCTAAGAATAAAGTGTCACATGTTGAGACTTACAAAATCTTTATTTCAGTAACTAAACAATTGCAGCCCAATGTGTGATTCTCTTTAATCTCATAAAAAATTTTGGAGTAGCTAAAATTGTTAGAGTCAGCAATTTGACTCAAAATATGCATGCTTATATAATCACCTGCTGCCTTTACATGGTTCTTATGAAATGTAATTCCAGAGCTTCACTTCTGGAGTTATATTAGTGAAAACTGGAAATGTACGCTTAATGTTTTGTTGTTTTCAAATCTCAGACTCATTAAGTTTTAGCTTTATCATTAGCTTTTAACTTTTATTACTGGTGTATTTATAACTGTGGAGCAGAATAAGTCTCTTTCTTCAGCTTCATTTACATTTTGTAGCTGAATTTGGTATAATTTTTGACTATCACACCTGTTTCCTTATTTCATGTGCATGTGGAAGCTCTCTGGATTTAAGATTCTGGAGTCTCATGAGGTGAAACCTTGTGCATTTGCAACGTTCTTCAGCATGGCCTTTTTTTGACAAAGAAGTAGAAATATTTTGACAGGTATTAAAGGGTGGAGCTGTCTTCACCCTAAAGACAGCAGCTGAAGTTTTCCAGTCATGTATGCATAAAATGACTTTGCATCCTCTCGACTGCAGCTTCCTTTTTTCTCTTCTGTCCTGAGCAAATGGGTGTCATGAAACCAAACTCAAGGGTCACAGTAATGATAATGTGAATCTGTGTTGTTTGTCCTGTGTTGGACAATGCAACTGTTTTCAGTTTGGTGAAAAGGGTATTCAGGATTCCTTTGTCTTTTAAATCCCTGTATTTAGCACATAAGTGATTTATTTTCTTATTTGAAAGTAAAGGTGAAATAAAAAGAACTTGCTTTTGCAAGTTGGTCATGTAATCAGAATTACTGTTGTGGCTAAAAGCTGAAGTAAGTGTTGTTTTTCTGTCTGAGTAACATTCTGAAATGTGATATAGAAGGCATGGGTTTATTTTTCTGGCAAAGCTCTGAACCATAGGCCTGTGGTATTTTAGTATCTAGAAATGCAGACTAGTCACAACAATGACTTAAAGGTTGTGTGTGCTTGATTTCTATTGTTCTTACCTGTCTTCCTCTGTAGAAGTTTGTTAGACACCCTGTTCATACCAACTCATCTGAGTTGTCAGTTGTATCTTGTTACAGACTAGTAAAGCAGAAAGATTTGATGTGAAACCATCACAGACGATAGGTCCAGAAATTTAGTTTATTGTGAGATATGCATTGTTAGAACCCTTTTTGACTGTGTAGTAGAAAGTACACTTGGAAAAAAAAACTTAATGTGCTAAACACTGGGTTTTTTTTTTTCCTTTCAGGCAAAATCCGGACACTACCTTTGAAGTGTACGCAGAAGTCACCTACTCGGGAATCAGTTGCGTTGGGAAAGGTACTGTTTTGCACTGTAATTCTATCTATTTATTGGCTAAACCTATTCTTAAGAACCACGGACTTTGAAATAATGAGGCATATTTAATACTGTGCTGTTCTAGCTTTTAAAGATCCCTTAATCACTGGTTCTGTGGGATCTTTCACATTTAGGACTAATAAGGAGAAGTTTTTGTCTCCGTCCCTGGTTGTGGGCAGTTTTCTTTGACTGTTTTGCCTTTTTTATTTGTCTTTTAAAATAGAAATAACTCTTGATTCATTAAGTTGAAAAAATAAATGTATTTCAGACTTGTATTTGCTGCTTATAGAAGGAATGGGTAGTTTTAAAACAAAAAATACTCTCAAATTTCTTGTGCAGAATTTACATTTGCTTCCTCTTTCTTACTTGCTACAGAAGTACTTTTATCTGTTCCCAGGATTTTTCTCTCGATCAGATGCTTTTATCTAGAAATAAGGCATGAATACAGCATATGATTTGATTATCTATTTTTACCAGACATTGTTATTAATCCATAATTATGCAAGTATTTTTTTGAATATTTTTTCTGGCAAGTATTCCTGTGTTTGTGCTAGAGAAGTCTCATAACTGCTGAAATCAACATGTAAATATACCTTTGAATTTTTGATGGTGCTTCTTTCTAAATCTGAGGGATTTGGTCAAATAAGCAGGAAAACCAAAGGCTGAAACTTGTAATCTCAGAATTTAGTTTAAGATGCTGTTTTGTGAGATCAGTCTCTAGAATGTTATGAAAAGGGGTGGAGTAAAAATTAAACCATGATGATGAGTCAACAGATACTGAAGTAATATTTCTTCTATGAAGTTATCATGTGTATATTGTACATATGTCTGTCCAGTAGAAAGGATTTTTGTGTTTTCTCAACTGGAAAACCACTTACCTCCTTTTATATTTGTATTTGTTACAATCGACGAAAGTGGAATAGCTGCTACTCTTTCCTTTACTGCCAAGGCCTCCATAGGAGTTGTAACTGGAATACAGTCTTGGCTTCTCCTACTGCTATATGCCATGAAGACTATTTGATGTAACTGCAGGAGCCTTTTTAATAACTAGTCTTTGTTTCTGCACATCTGACCTGGATTCTAGTGCCAGAAAATCCGAACAAATTTGACCATAAACATTACATTGTACAGTACTAGTGTCTGGGTATAATCTTCTCTTTGAAGTTTGTTTGCATCCCCCTGGAGGGATTAGTTCCCTGCTGTGGGAAGGTGGGTTAAAAAGCACGGAAACTACTTTACAGGTTTTTAATTGGAGAATTTAGTATACATTTTGTTCTATAAACCAACTGATTTTGTGGGAGTTTCTCTTGGTTGTGATTTTAGGTTTGTTGTATGCACTTGTAGGTGCAAAATCATAAGAAAATGTTTTTAGTGAGTAAAAAAATGTTCTAGTAATTGCTTTTACAACTCGCGTATTCTGAAGTTGATTCTCCCTGAATAATTTTTTAAAAGATCTTTCCCAACCAATTGTTATATATTTAAGAACCACTCTTTATTTTCAGATTTGGGTATCCCCAGATATTCTGTCATATTCTAAATGAAAGCTGTGGTTTGGTTCTCAGTGTCAGCTGTCCTTAACAGCCATTCAGTATCCTGGGCAAAGGGCCATTCTAGAAATACAAACCTAGAGACCTCCATGTGGTCTTTTCTAATTCTTGGTAGAAAACCAAAAATATATATCAACTTTTGGGCTGTTTTTTTTTTTGCAGTCAGTGAATGTATGTTACATGGCAAGCAGCAGTTATTATTAAGAAAAGCAAAATGTATAAAAGGTGTATAAGGAGAAAATTATCAGTTTTTTAAAAAAAACCTATTTCTTCCCATGTAATGGATCCCAAAATTAATCAAGACAGCTGGTTTTGAAGTTTGTGTGCTGTTCATCACTGACAGTGCTCTTAATTCTTGTATCAGTCTTCTGGCATGGTTTTGAGGAGAATGAATTGCTCCAAAGCTGTGACAGCCCTAGTGTGGGAGATTGTGTGGCTTGTGGGATGGTAAAACATGCCTCTTGTTGTATTCAGAAGTTTGTGTAGCTGTGGTTGTTAAACCCCAGCCAGCAGCTGAGCACCACGCAGCTGCTCACTCCTCCCTGCTGGGATGGGGGAAGAATCAGAAGAGTGAAAGTATGAAAGTAGCAAAGGATGTTTTCCATGTGTCTGTTAAATATCAACTGAAATTAATCTTTAGTTCACTTCATGTTGCTGTAAGGGGAGATACGCGTGTTATTTACTATTTATAATTGTACATTCAAGTAGTTTTACTGCTCCCGTAATTGTTAATAATCTTGGCTTATATGTTTATTTGGTTAATTACTTTTGAAATAAATGAAAGCAGCATTATCCATTGACTATCATATAGAATCATAGAATCATTTAGGTTGGAAAACTCCTTTAAGATCATGGAGTCCAACTGCTAACCCAGCACTGCCAAATCCACCTCTAAACCATGTCCCTAAGTACCACATTTGCATGTCTTTTAAACACCTCCAAGGATGGTGACTCCATCATTTCCCTGAACAGCCTGTTCCAATGCTTGATACAGAAGGCTCCCTCTTGCTTACCAAGATAGTGGACTGCAGAAGGTAAAAATCTGTTCTGGGCTTCAAGAAAGACTTCAGTAAACTGGAACAAGTTCAATGGAGGGCCACCAAGATGGTGAGTGAGCTAGAGTACTTGCACCATGAGGAGAGGTTCAGAATGCTGGGCTTGTTTAACCTGGAGAAGACTTCAGGGAATCTGAAGAGTAGCCTTCCATACCTAGGAGGAATTCATCAAGATTAGATATCCAGGCTCCTTAAGGTAGTGCGTGGCAGGACAAGAGGCAATAACAGACTGAATCAAGAGGCGTTTGAATTGAGTATCAGGAATGTGTTCATCATGAGGACAGTCAAGAATTGGACCATGTCACTCACAGAGTTTGTGCAATCTCCATCCTTGGAGGTTTTCAAGACCCAGCTGGATCGCAGCCTGAACAACCTCATCTGACCTTATGCCTGGCCCTCCTTGAGCAGGAGGTTGGACTAGAGACCTCCCAGAGGTTCCTTCCAGCCTGAATTATCTGATGATCATAAGATCTGATTCCTAGAAACAAAAGCTTCAGGAACATCTGGAGGATGTTTTGTGTTCTTAATAAGGTATGAAGAGAAAAACTTCAGTGAAACCAAAGAAGTTGAAAAAGCAAACAGTGTTTTATTCCAGTCCAGGCAGAACTCTTCCAAACCACAATGAAATGTGTGAACTGTGGAAGGAAATGATCCCTAGATCAGCCCAGCTGTGGTCTCTCTGTCCTTTCCCCTCTAGATTGTTTAGAAATAATGATCATCTGTGCACAGCATTGGTGATTTGTGTTTTTCTGGCACATGAAGTCTTTGGTACGTTATAGAATTCCAGCATTCAGTTGTATCTAAAAGCTGTGGTTTCTGCTTTTTCTCTGTTCTGTCCATAGACCTTCTTTGGGGACTTACAGATTTATTTCCTTTTTTTTTTTTTTTTTTTTTTTACTGGGTCACTTTACGTTAATGTGTATCTTTGTTTTGAGAACTGTGAAGCAAGATATCTGCAGCTGTGACCAGCAGCATTAAGATGAGCATTTGTTATTAAGAAGGTATTTCCTTGAGGAAAAAGACAATTGCCAAACCATTTTTTTCACGTTATGATTGTGATTTCCATGGAAGCTGGGAATTCCCCTTAGCTAACTGAATCTAAGTTAGTGGTGTGGTTTGTTTGTGGTTTTTTTTTTTTTCCTTTAAAAGAATATTTGACTTCCTAAAATTGAATAAAAATACAAAACTGCTTTCTTCAGTTTGTTCCCACTTTTTTTTTTGAGGGGGGGGCTGTCTGGGATTCAGAATTTCTTCAATTAGTATTTCAGTGATGCTTTCATTCATGTTCTAATTTTCAGTTTCATCAAATAGCACTGTTCTCTTGTCCATATCCTCCTATAATAACATGGTGATGTGTTCTCACCAAACATCTAGGGCAGCAAAACTGAATAGAAAGAATGGAGTCTGCATCTCTACAGTGACAGTACATGGAACTTATCTAGGGAGAAATATGTGGTGTGTGTGTCAAGTCTTAAGTATGTCAAGCATAGGAACTTTGCAAGTCCAGTGCTTTTCACCAACTCCCACATACTTTGAGGAAGAGAGGAAAAAGTAGTCATGGTTTTATTTTTAAAATGGGATATTATTGTAGGGAAAATATTGACTAAAACTTAGAGTGTTCTCTGATTCTTTCAGGTGAGTGCTGGGTAACGACTTGTGACTCAGAGGAAAAGGTGCAGTTCCAAGGTTAATGCAGAAACCTGGCTAATAGGCTGACTTAGGCTAAATAGTTTTAACAGGTGCCTTTTGTGCAGTGGTATAACTGGATGGAGTAAGTTGCTAATACTGTACACATGGGCATGACTAAGTCAGCTCTTAGAGTATGTCTGTTTCAGCTTTGGCTTTCAACCACTCTAGTTGAATAGAAAGATTGTTAGGACTTAAAAAAAAAAGGATAACTAGGACAAATTCCAATTCACATATAGGGCTTCAATGTTCTATAGCCTATGTGGTGGGTTTCTGTCTTTGCTGTTATGCTTTTATTGCTGTGTAGTTCCTGCAGTAGGAGAAGTTCTAGCTTTCCTTGTCACTTTGATACAAGGAGGCCATCTGCCAGTCTGGGTGTATTGCTTTTAAAAAAACACAGCCAAACAAAAAAACTTTAGAGATTCTAGAGGTTTCACTGTTAGAACTTGACCTTCAGGAATTTGATAGAATAGAGCCTCAAAAATTGCAAATAGAGGGGAATAATAATATCGTTTATTGCCCAGAAGATACCAGTAGTATAGTCTGGATGTAATCTATAATTGCATTAGTTTTGCCTTTCTGCTGTGATACTTAAGTAACTTCATGTAAAGGAAAGGAAAATGCATTATATGAGGTTGTTCTTCTAATGGAGGGCTTGGGTATTTATCATGGCATCTCGTAGTAAAACTTCACA